TTTTCCTCTAGTTTTATACATACATGACAAATAAAACAACTATCAAATTACATCCTTATTATGTATTTGCTTGTGTGACACTCTGCCAGATTATAAACCTCTGTGAGTAGTTTTGATATATTTTCATCTATGAATCATAGTACTTCAAATTTAGAGGAGGGATGCAAATACTGACTGCTTCCTGTAAGTCCCAATTACAGTACTAGGTGTTGTCCCTATATAACTACATTTATTACTGAACACTATAGGCAAATATTCTGATCTCCATTTTCCAAATAAGAAAAATGAAGCTTGATATAAAATCTGTATGTGTCACTATTTAAGCCCAGTATTTAATTGTTAAATGACATGATAAAAGGGTTCTAGGCCACACTGGCATCCGAAACTCAGATTCAGTGTCTCCCTCTCTAAGATAAATCTCATTAAGATTATAATAAAGGTTTTTTTTTTAAGCTACTAATTGAAGGAAACCATCAATGAGAAACTGCATAGAGGCTAACAAAAGAAACAAAGCTACCTATAGACTCATGGAGAAGCCATTTCCAGAAATATCTATGTAAATGGAGGGCAAAATGAGTTTCAGACAACCCTATTCTTCCAAAGGTCAGTGTATTATGTCAGGCAACTGGACATAAAAGCAAAATTGTTTTTACCCTAAAATGAAGTTGGCCAATTGACAAACCTGTCCATATACAGAATCATAATTTACTTTTCTATTGCTATATTATTATATATAAATGAATAAACAAGTATCACAAGTCAATATAGTAAATCCTTCAACACGAAACACTGAGACCAAGATAAAAAAAACATACCAACTGACCTCAAAGAAAATAAAAATAATATAGGTAATAGATGAGAACATAAAAGTCAGAATGTAAAAGTCAGAGACATTTATGAAGATATTGTAACTCCAATTTAACAATGGGATGCTATGAAATAGATACCCAATGAAAAACAAAGTATTCTTACACAGACACACATATATATATATACATATATACACACACACATATATATATATATATATGGAATTATCTATCTACCTACCTATTTATCTATCTCCTTAACAGTTAGAAATGAAGGCATGTTGATCAAGAGAGAAAAAACAGTGAGCTGAAAAACTGAGTGGTGAGATAGGGTACAGAGAGAATCCAGTTAACAGCATCCAACAACTAAAGGCTGGAAAATGAGAACAGAGAAAATGGAGAAGAGAAAATGATAAAAAGTAACTGAAGAGAATTTTCCAAAGTTTATTAAAAAAAAAACCCTTATAATTAAAGGACTCACTGTGTTCCCAGTCAGTGAATAAAAGACCCTTTTTGATTCATTCTGGAGCAATATTAGAACACAGTGGAAGATCCTAAAAATGTCCAGGGGTGCGGAAAAGCAGAATTATAGTAGAAATTACAGTATCACAAAAACTGAATACTATGAGGCAAGTGGAACAATTATCTCAAGCTATAAGGAAAAACTCTTTCATCTTAGAAAAGCATATGATGCAAAATATAAATCAAGTGTAAGGGTAGTCAAAAAACATGCTTAAAAATCAAAATTTTGGCAAATTTACCTCTCCTATACTTTCTATTAGACGGTTTCATAAAGGAAGGTTTTTTTTTAGTAAAGAAGTGAGTACACTAAGAAAGAGAAATATATTAGTTTATATCCAAAGAGAAATATAGAGTGTCCAATACTGACAGCTTTTCAGTAGGTCTGGAAAGCAATCAGCCCAAATAAGAACTAAAGGCAACATGCTGTAGAATGTGATACACTTGAAGGAAAGGTTTTACATATTTCTTTAGAATTTATTAATTTTTCTCAACTTAAAAGGGAGTCAAAAGATACTTTGTATCTACTGATGGTGTACAAAGGAAATATTTACAAAACACAATTTTACTCTTGGAACAGTAATGAATAAAAGATAAAACTAGTGACGTTTAGTGGGAGGGTGATATATCTAGAGGGGTAAGTAAGCAACATCAGCAAATATTATGTCAATATTATGCCATATGTCAAGACACTATTTCTGAGGTTGATAAAACAAAAATATTGGCAGAATATATATATTATTTATATTTATGGAGGTAACCATTGGAAGAATTAAAATTAGACATAGCTGAAAGACTTAAAAGTAGGCACTCAAGAAGTGCATCTCTAGAGATGGGAATATCAGGGGAGAAGGACTTCTTTGCAAGTTAAACTTCCCTGCATAGTTGAACTGTTAAAGCAGGTGCAAGTTAAATTTTGATTTAAAAAGATAAAGAAATTGACAAGAAGAATATATGTACATGTCAAATATGGTCAAAATATTGATGCAATTATATGTTATGGATCTGTAGGATTTCTTACAAACAGATAAAGCTATATTTTCTTTGAATGCCAAGGGCTTTGTATGAATATGATATACACAAACACACACACAGTATGTACAGGTGTCAGTTAAAAAGTCTCAACTCTGGCCTTCCCTTGTGGCTTAGCTGGTAAAGAATCCACCTGCAATGCGGAAGACCTGGATTCAGTCTCTGGGTTGGGAAGATCCCCTGGAGAAGGGAAAGGCTACCCACTCCAGTATTCTGGCTTGGAGAATTCCATGAACTGTATAGTCCATGGGGTCGCAAAGAGTCCGACACGACTGAACGACTTTCACTTTCACTTCACTTCCAACTCTGGGTTTAGACTGGCTGGTTTTGAATCTCTAATTCACAATTTAATAACAGAGAAAATTGGGTAAATAATTTTATGTCTCCATGCCCAATGTCTTCTTTTGTAAAAGGAGGACACTAATATGTAATATGGTTGCCAGGATGCTTAGATATGAAAAGGTACTAAAAGTGTATATTATATAGGTTTTGTACATAGCAAATATTTAACAGATATTAAGTACTTCAACATTTACATTTATAATGCATTTATTTTGTAAATATTTAATTATGCATATGCTATAATACTCATTCATATAAAAATATTAGAAAGAAATCAACATAAATGCATTTATCAAATGGAATTCTAGGTAATTTTTGTTTTTTTTAATACTTTTCTGTAACAAATTTTCAGCAATGGAAGCATACGTTTCATATTTATATTCATATTTATATGAAAACTATAAATGCTAATTAAACTAACAAAACATATGGTCTTGGGAATTCCATAGCAGTTCAGTGGTAATTTCACTGCTGTGACCTAAGTTTGATCCCTGGTCAGGGAATGAGGATACTGTAAGCTGTACAGCACAGCCAAAAAAAAAGAAAGAAATATGGTCTTAAGCTAAAACATCATAGGTCTAGTGTGGTTGTTAGGAAGAATTTTCACATAATGGGAGCTTTGAAACACTGGAACAGGCTATTAGGTTTATGAAAGAACAAAGGGTGGGGTGGAGTGGGCACCTTAATTCTTTTCACTTATTATCACTTATTATTCACTTATTTGAAGAAGGGAATGACAACCCACTCCATTATTCTTGCCTGAAGAATCCCATGGACAGAGGAGCCTGCACGCTACAGTCCATGGGGTTGCAAGAGTCGGACACAACTTAGCGACTAAACCACCACCACTGTTCACTTATTAGCATTCTATTTGAAGGGCAGAGAATAGATCTCAACGATCAAAGTACTGAGGGAAGACAAACTATACTCTGACATTGGCCAAAAGAACTACTATTACTAACACTGTATTTTATAACAGATACATAAGAACTAATTTGGAAGATGAGTGGGATGTTTTTACAAGGAGGTTTATTCTGGGATTTGATTTATAATATAGATACAGGTAAGTGGAGAAATGTTTTCCTCATATTTAATTCAATTTGAATGTAGTCCCAATGATGAATAGTCATATTTAATAAATTATATACTCTTTTAGCATGGAGCAACAACTGAAGAAAACTAACAGTGGCTAATGACATCAGCCAAGGGCAGTATAGCAACTGGATTTCTTTGCATTTTAATACAATTAAAACTGGCTCCCACTTCCAATTATTTCTGTGTTTAATACACTAGAGTAACAACTATAATGTGAAAAATAATTCAGGTTAATATATAGTTCAAAAACCAAAAAGATAACCAAAAGGATAATTAGTAGTTATAATCTGTTGCTTTGTACAAGGAAAAAATAATTGACTACAAAGGCAATGACTAAAATTCAAGACTGGTTAAAGTCCATTAGTGGTTATTATATTTGTCAACCCCTGTGGTACTGATACAGCTCTTGTCACATCATCCTAGTATTATATTAATATAATAAGAGTATCTGCCATCATTAACACTTATTGAATTAGGATTTGTTGATCCAAGAGGAGTCATATATTATGCTCATTTAATTTCTTAAGACTATTCTCTGAGGGTTTCATTTCTTCCTTATTTTTGGGGATGGACTAGTAGTAGAAACATTAAACAAGCATCATGTGAATAGAATCAAGTAAAAATGAGACTTTTCAGACTATCACCACAATGTGGGAGAGTGGATGTATGTATGTATACAACATACATTAATATACAATGATTATAAAGGGATAGAGAAAAATGACAACACTGGGGGTATCTTTGAGGTAAAATTACTAGCTTTTACTTTTATTTTTCTTCATATTTTCACAGTTTCTAAATTTTTCACAATGAGCATATGGTGCTTCTATAAGTAGAAACAACTAAATATATATTTAGCACACACTGGTTCCAATTTCCTATAGGAAACAGAATTGTAGTACATAAAGAACTTAAAAGAGTTATTTTCTGTGGACCATATGCATGCAAAATAAACTAAAATAAACATACACATAAAAAGCAGATCCTTTATATTGTTAGAATTGTTTTCATAAAATTGTTGAGAAATCTCACTAACATATAAATAATTTATCTATATCAGCAATGGTGATCTTTTCATTACATATACATAGCTATTAAGAATAAATCCAAGCCATTCTTTTGTAATTAAAATGCACATTAAATCTCTAGGGTTGATGTATTCAATGAAGCAAAATTAAAAGAAAAAAAAAGAAAAACACTTACTTTGCAGAAATTGTCACAGTGTTCCCTGCTTGGGAGAGAGAAAAGTCGGAGGCATCTCTTCCGACAATGGTAGCAGTATAAACTAAGCTTTTCAAGCTTGGATTTTTCAGTTGAATCTATGTTGAAGAAGAGAGTATAAATGAGATCATGAATTTTAAAGATACACAACTTAACATTTCTTATTTTTATCAAAGAGAATCATATATTTTTAGCATGAAAATACTTACCCTAGTGTAGTAGCTGGAAGAAAGCAGTTTGTATTTAAAGACTGTGTGTGTGTGTATGTCTTCTTTTCTTCAGAAGTAGGCAAAGAGAAGACACTATCAGACAAGGAAATGACAGATGTAAAAATACCTGATCACCAAAGATTTGAAATCCAAAGTTAGCAACTTGGATTTTAATCTCACTGCAAAGGGAAACCTTTAAAGAATTTTAAACAGATTCCAATTTACAAAAAGGTTACTCTGGCTGCTCAGTGTAGAAAGTGTTATAAGGAATGGAATCAGAAGTCCAGGCTAAAAACAATGGTGGCCTCATCTAGAAGTGGTAGTACAGTTAGGGGTTGGCTTCCCCTTCCTTCCTGATGTCAAGATATGGAGAATATTTGAGAATGAGCTACTTCATTTTTAGAGAGCATTTCATGAGAAATGTGGGTATAAAAATATTTATGCAGAATACAATAGGAATTTTAAAATATATACATTAGAAAGACACAAAGTTATGGAAAGTATAGACCCAGAGGAAAGAAGAGATCTGAGAGAGGTGGATGGTTGCCCAAATTAGAATAAAGAAAGAGCAATGGCCCTTAGGCAGGAACTATAGTAAGGAACTATGGTCCTAGTTCAGGAACAGTCAGAGATAGAATATGGCAGACATCTGTTGAAAGATTAAATTAACTACTTTTATATTTCAATAAGAACTTCCGTAACCACCAGGACCAACATGTTGAGTTTACCCCTAAATTGGGGGCTTTCATGTTGCTTACCTGCTTATGGATCTCAGTAACAATGGAGGCAAGACTACTCTAGTGTCCTATTTTTGTATGTATGTATGTGTGCATTTAAAGTATTAATTAACAGATCTAGTGATTTTAAGTCACAGGGAGCTAATTTCCATTTTCTGGAAGGAAATGTTGAAAATAATAGCAGATTCACTATGAACTATTTATTGGTTTATAGTCCTGGAACTTACATAATCAGCCCTGAGATCTTAAGGTAGCTACCCGTCCTCATTATGTCATCCTGCTTATTTAACTTATATGCAGAGTACATCATGAGAAATGCTGGACTGGATGAAGCACGAGCTGGAATCAAGAATGCCAGGAGAAATATCGATAACCTCAGATATGCAAATGACACCACTCTTATGGCAAAAAGTGAAGAAGAACTAAAGAGCCTCTTGATGAAACATAAAGAGGAGAGTGAAAAGTCGGCTTAAGGTTCAACATTCAGAAAACTAAGATCATGGCACCTGGTCCCATCACTTCATGGAAAATAGATGGGGAAACAATGGAAATAGTGACAGACTTTATTATTTTTGGGCTCCAAAATCACTGCAGATAGTGACTGCAACCATGAAATTAAAAGACGCTAGCTCCTTGGAAGAAAAGTTATGACCAACCTAGACAACGTATTAAAAAGCAGACGTTACTTTGCCAACTACGGTCCATCTAGTCAAAGCTTTGGTTTTTCCAGTAGTCATGCATGGATGAGAGAGTTGGACTACAAAGAAAGCTGAGTGCCCAAGAATTGATGCTTTTGAATTGTGGTGGTGGAGAAGATTCTTGAGGTTCCCTTGGACTGCAAGGAGATCCAACCAGTCCATCCTAAAGGAGATCAGTCCTGGGTGTTCATTGGAAGGACTGATGCTGAAGCTGAAACTCTAATACTTTGGCCACCTGATGGGAAGAATTGACTCATTTGAAAAGACCCTAAAGCTGGGAATGATTGAAGGTGGGAGGAGAAGGGGATGACAGAAGATGAGATGGTTAGATGGCATCACTGACTCAGTGGACATGAGTCTGAGTAAGCTCTGGGAGTTTGTGATGGACAGGGAGGCCTGGGGTGCTATAGTCCCTGGGGTTGCGAAGAGTCGGACACGACTGAGTGACTGAACGGAACTGATACAACATATATATAATATAATAATCACATATATATATCACATATATGACATACACACATATACACACATACAAACATGTATATATAAATGCATTTATATAAAAATAAATAAGTAAATAAATGATGCAAAAACACTGGGCCCAGCTGTGGTCAGATTATTCCACCCAACTCCAGAATTTCATGTAGGGGTCATGTGAGTGGTAGGGAGAAGAAAAAGCTGGTCAAGTGTTGGTCCTTTAATGGACCAGAACCTGGTGGTCCGGAGTCGACGATAAGAAAGTAAGAGAAAGAGGCTGATATCCCCTGGTTTACACGGAAAGCCAAGAGTCCTGTTCTTAGGGCTTGCGCTGCTGCACGTAGGCACCGGACACCCTCTCGAGTGGGTGAAGGCACAGTGCACCTTCTCGAGAGAGTCTTAGAAGCCTGGGCAAGAAAGTGAGCTCAGCGGGCCTCCGTGCTCCAAGGAATTAGCCAGAAATAGAGAGAGAGAGAAAGAAAGACATGGGGACCCAAGCTCTGATGGAGCAAAGGTGTTTTAATCAACATGGCGTGGGCATATATACTGTCTTACAAGGTGGCTATTCTCAGCAAAGATAAAGATTAAAATTCCAGACTTACAAAACATAAGACGATCCCTATCAAAGAGAGAGTTGCAAACAATCACCTTTTACCCTATGGCTCATAAAAAGGAAGAGGGTACTTATCACCGTAATGAGAAATGCCTGGATTCCTCAGCCCCGGGAAAGGCGTGCCTCTCCTCTTCAGGAATTAATAAGGGCCAGAGGGTTCCTGACAGATCCAAAAGAGCACACAGGAAGCCTCTTGTTAAATGCTTTCTGACATTCAAGGGAAGAAACCAAGCTTTGGACCCTCAATTCTCCTTTTGCAATGATAGCCATTATTTAACTACTGTGTTCCAGGGTAAATTTTGTTTCAGAAAGGGAGAAAAAAAATAGTTCAATTACTTTTAAAAGTATCTCAGAAAATCACTGAACTTAACATTTTTTCACTGATCACTGTATTGTTTCATGGTCCCAGTATTCTGTTTCTATTTGTGACATATAGCTACAAAATATAATTTTTCAATTATAGTAGCCATTTCTTGAGATTTTTCTTTAAACTGGGAGGTCAAAAAAGTTGACAATGACATTCTAGTACTTAGGCACTGCCATTTATAGTGTTGATGCATATGGGCAAACTACGCCATAGATTCTCAGCAATTTCCAAATCAGTGATTTTCTTGAATGAAATTAGAATCAAAGCTTGTTGTAATTGATGTTCTATTTTGAATTTGTATTCAATTTTTATTGTTTCCTTCAAAAGATGTTCCTTACATTTCTGAAAAATACAAGCTCTATGTACAATCTCACCTATAAGCTTAAAGTGAGAATATTATGCCCAATAAGGAGTTAAATATGAAAAGAAATCGTTTCCATTCTAATGATTTAATCTGATTTCTAACATCACAAATAAAATCTGTTTAAAAATTAGCTCTTTCAACATAATCAAATGGCATAAAGAAATTCAAACATGTATACAGAATTAGAAAACCAGTGATAATACTCAAATGAATTAAATCACTGTTTAAATCTAATTCAGACCCCTCCTATCTTCTGCAGGCTTAAGCAAAGCATTTCTAACTTTTTAGAAATTTGAATCTGAAATCAAAAGTCCAGCCCACTGTAATTACAGCTCTAGGCCAGTTAGTACTCAAGGCCCTTAAATATAATTGCACTTAGTGAATTACTGTAGTGGATAGTGTTGAAAAAGTTCTCTGAAGAGTTTTTTATTTCTTTTTCCAACAAAAGCAGGAGTAATTTTTTTAAAAGAATATCATATATCAATGTTTGCTAACAGAAAATCAGGAGAAATGGCTTTCCTTTCCCTAAATTGAGCCCTTTTCACTGAGACAAGTATGTGAGTTTTTTCTGCTTTTTAACTGAATCCTCATTAACCATCACTCATACAGTCAGAGGGTACATTGTTATTTTCTCAAAAAGGATACATCTACATATCACCAGGACATAACTTCTGAAGACCACACATGGACATGTTTTGCATTGAAAGTGTAAAATTAACACCCACACCCCCACCCCCAACAAATTGGGAAGATCTCCTGAGGGAAGAAATGGAAATCCACTCCAGTATTCTTGCCTGGAAAATTCTATGGAGAGAGGAGCCTGGAGGGCTATAGTCCCTGGGGTCACAAGAGTCAGACATGGCTGAGTGACTAAACAACAACAAAAACTTAATATGAAGAGGAATACATAAAACAGCCTGAGGAAAAGGAATAAAAATGATCTGACCAAAGAGATAAATTAACTTTTGTACACAGTAAGATTCTAACAGCTTATACTGTCCAGAGAAAGAAGTAAGGAGATTTCATGAAATCGTCAACCATAAAACTAGTAGAAGGAAAAGTCTTGGACAAATATAAGAAATAAAACTATATGCTAGAAGATATTTCACAAGTATTCATATGAAACATATTGTTTGAAAACCAAAGTTAGGTTGATGATCCCTGGCAATATATTTCTCAATCAAAGAAAACACTTGCAAAACATGGACATATTTATATAGATTTGTTACGGTCACAGGACTCAAAATTTCATTTTCCATTTTCCCTACATATTAAAAAAATCACTGTTATGCATTTAGCAGCTCCGGCATATATATAATCTTTTAATGGGCATTAATGGTGACCCTGATCAGGAGTGCTTTCGTTATTACTTCCCTTCCCATATCCTCATTTTGAACAAAATCCATCTGAATATGTGCATGCTGTTCTCAGTTGCTCAGCTATGTCTGACTCTTTATGAACCCATGGACTGTATAGTCTGCCAGGCTCCTCTGTCCATGGGATTTCCCAAGCAAGAATACTGGACTGGGTTGCCATTTCCTTGTGCAGGGGATCTTGGAGATCCCCTGTGTCTCTTATGTCTCCTGCATTGGTAGGTGGATTCGTTACTACTGTGCCACCTAGGAAACCCATCCTTACTTGAACAAAATCCATCTGGATGTGTAAAGTTTCCTAAAGGAATGCCAAGCATACTCTGATCACGTTTCTACTTGTAGCATCAAGTTCTCTCATACATGAAATGGATCTCGACTTTCCTGAAAGATTTGCCCTTCAAAGTGCTTAACTTTCATTTTTTATCTCCCCATCCCATTCTTCAGATGAATAAAAGAACCATTATTTCATTGCAAGTAGTGATTACTATTAAGGAAAAATTCTCCCTTTCACTCTGCTATACCTTTGGTTTAGAAGGAAAAACATTTGTTAAGGCTTATCTTATCATACTGATACATTTGTTCATTTTGGATTGGGAGAGAAATATCTAAAACCCACCTAAGTGTTTAATTCCACATATATTTTGACCTCAAAGATATCCTTACCTCTCTAAACACTGTGTCATGTAGAGTACAATGAAAGGGCACCACTTTCTTGGGGAGATATGTAGGAAGTCTTTCATACATGTAGACACAAAACATGAGCATCAGGATTGGATTGGGATCACAGATGTCAGCAGCCTGGTTCCAAAGAAGAGAATTATAAATTATAGGATATATAAATAAAATATATTAAAAGAGCTAAAGCCCAGTACGTCAGCCACTGAATTACTTAAAACATCTTAAAATGCTATTGATTGACAGTGACACTGAAATGTTGCTATGAGCAAACAAAATATTGCTGTGAATCAGAATAGCTTGACCTATGTGTTAGAGGATGAACTAGATATATCATAAATATAAGAATGACCTCACAGCCTCAAAGACTCCATAAAAGCTAGTCAGAGGTCAGAACGCATAGCTACTATGTGCTATAAATAACAGACAAATGTGATTACAATATCATCCATGACTTAAAGTGTATAATGCAGTAAAAGATAATAGAAGTAGACAAACAACTGAAGTAAAAGATGGCAAGAGGTTTTTTTTTTAAGCAAAAACCCAAAGGAGGAGGCAACACATGAGATGGCCTTGAAGAATACTTGAAGGGTTTTAAATAGGTTGGTGTCTGGAGTGAGGAAAAGGTATATCCTATCAGAAAAGAAATCTCGGAGAAGGATATAGGGAGTATAGTATTCATTTGGGAAAGCAAAAGTACAATGTGAATCACGCATAAGATCAGAAGGGACAAGTGGTAGAAGAAAAGACGAAGGAGTGCAACAGTCACATAGAGGAAGGTGTGGATACCAGGAAGAGGGACTTGATTTCGGAACAAGAAATAACCCAAGAGCAACAATTCACGCAGATCAGGTGGGTCAGGGGGAGGAGGTTGGAGAAGTACTTATCCTAGAACAAATCACAGTATGGCAGAAAATGTAGATAAACAAGATAATTTAGTGACGGTTGTTGGCATATATTTGAGATAACACCCAGAATTATAGAGGAATAACAGCAGGGACAATCAACATAGCCAGAATGGGCACTGAGCCCAAAATGTCAAGTCAGGAGCAGAGGAGGAAGGATTATTTCTATCAGCATATGTTGTGCCTATGATCTCCTAGAAAAAGGCAGAGGTAGTGGGGAAGAATTATTCATAGCAATGAAGTACTGGGATTGGTCTGAGGCAAAGACTCAAAGACATATAAGACACCACTGACACACAAGCACCTCTGTCCTTGTCAGTCAACAGGAACCTCTCTGCACTTTCATAAACTGGAGATCTACTGTGATTTAATGGTGCACATTCAAGTTAGCAACTGAAAACGATCTGGGCCTGGCCTGGAAATGCAAATAGTGCCAGAACTCAGGGTACCCATGGTTATCTGGAACTAAAGCACTTGACTCTGAAATCTGGCAGCAGTTATAAGAAACTACTGAGACCCCGTTGATCATCTGCTAGTACACATTCCCAAATATATTCTTCTCTTTCTTTGGAAGAACAGAAAGGTTTATTCTTTCTTGTTTTGTCAATAAGCAGTAAGGCTAACCAATAAAGGTGCCTGGGAAGGGGATTATTAGGGGAAAAAAGTGGAAGAAGCTGCCAGTCTTGGCAGAGTAGAAAACTGCTAGTGAGTATGATGTGAGGAAAACTGAGACATATACCAGGACCCCAAAGTTTCTCATCAATATTGTGACATCTCACATACCTTCACTGACGACAATGTTAGTCAACATATACAGGATCATTATGCAATTTAAGAACAAACTAAAAAATGGAATACAGAGTTTAATTTCCACAAAGTGAAGGATATAGCCCTGCATGATGGGCCAGCCTCTGGGTGTGATCCAAAGAGAGCTCTCTATGGTGATGGGAAATGTATTCATTGGGGAAAGGGTAGAAAGAAGGATACTCTGGGCCCCAAGTCTGAGGTTCGTAAAGCTCTTCTGAACACTATTTTAGTGACTACAGCATAAAATATATAGGTAGCAATATAAAATTATTCCAAAAGTCTATCTTTGAAAAATATGTAATAGGGCAGTATTTTGGAAATGAAAAAAAAATGTTTATCTTAATTGAAAAAATTTGATAATTAGAGTATTAGAGTGAAAAACTAGAGAAAAGATCACTCTTAGCTTTATGATAAAGTTCAATGAAAATATATAATCATTACTTTCTCTACATAGTTCTAACCTAGAAGAACTTTACTTTTATTTATCCATTTTTCTCCTGATAATATTTTCCTACTGAACTAACAAAAGACAAGGAATTTTTGTTAATGCCATAATAGAGGAAAATGGTGCAGTAAAAATCTAGTAAACTAAACTCACATCCTGCTACCACAAAGTACCATGATCTTTACCAAATCAATTGGTTTCCCTAGGTCTCAGTGTCTGCATCAGTAACAAGAAGAGATGAGATGGTCTTGGAGCTTCATGGTGGATTTAATTTGCTATGATGTCAAGATATTCCATCTTCCAAACTAGATACCAATCAAAACTAGTAGTACCCAAAGACATACCATAATCTGAAAGAGAACACTACTGACTGCGTTCCCCAGCATTTTCCTCCCTTCTTTACCAAGAATCCCAATTTTTGTGGCTCTTCCATTACCTTTATCAAACACTGGTTTAACTACAAGCATGAGATGTAATTATGGTCAATGATATGCAATGGGATGTGTGCTGTGGGACCACTGGGAAAGTTTACCTAAAGGAAAATGAGAAGCACAAGAAGTGGTACTATTCAACCAGACCCAAGAATAGCTGTATAATGGTGTTATAGAAGAATTCCAGTAGGAACTTTGTAGTTATTAGTGCACATGCTTAAAACAAAGCCAACAGGCTGAGAAGAACTGTGAAAAAATGAATCTTTGATAATTTTGTTGATGAAATGAAAAAATATCCCTATAATATTTTATTGCCTGATTCATCTTATATAAAATATAGAATTTATTTTTAAAATACTTTTATTCATGAATTGTTATTAAGACTGAAAGTATCCAAGTTGACATAAAGAAACAAAATTTTTCAGAGATGTTAGATATCTATTCACCCTTAGCTTCTATCATTACTCAGTTTGTATGTAGAAGAATTTAAGTATTAGCTATACCTATATATCTATATTTAAATATCTCCATGTCTCTACATGAGGGAATAAAAATACATTTTATGCTGAGTTCAAATAAATTGCACAATAGCTTTGCTTTAAAGGGGAGGATATATAATAATAGTTACATTCCAGATGCTAGGATTCCACATGATATAACATTGGCACAGAAACTTATTGAACTGACTCAACAGTTGGAAAGAATGACAAAATAAATAGGAAACTCAAACATTAATAAATAAGTCCAGTGGTAAGTTTCACAGTATTCAAATGTGGACCAGTGCTAATCATTAGTATTAATTCACTATGGTTAAGTTAATTTAAGGGTGATTTTTTTTGAACTTTGACATTTGATGCAGTAGGCAAATTCGGGCTGATAAAAAGTTAGGGAATTAGAAACGACTGGTAAAATCTTGGTAATTATCAGCTAAGTTAATTGCTAATTTCTCCATTCATCAAATCTTAGACATCGTCTCTATATTTTTATGTAGTAGATTCTCAGATCTTAGGATCTTTTTTTTGCTACACAATAAAATAAACATTTTGAGTCAATTTATCTGAGGAAGTCAAAAAGCAAAGGAGAGAATCATAATGCAAGATGAATTATATTTTCTAAACAAAGATATTTTAAGTTTCCTGTAAACCCTTATCAAATTCTCAAAGGTCACCTTAAACACCAAATGTCCCATGCAACTCTTGCTGGTTCCCTTTTCAGAATGATTTCTCTCCCCTTTGATTCCCACAGTACACAGTTTCTATGTCTTCCTGGCATGTACTGGCTGCTTTGTACTGGATCTTTTCATATACAATTCACTATTAGTCATTAACATATTTGAAGGCAAGAGTGTGGTTTTACCACATCTGTATCACTTACAGGGTCTATCCAGCATATTTTATGGAGGAGATTCAGTCAGTCAAACTGACAGGAACTATAATATTTTTATTTTTTCACACTAAAGCATTTAATTAGAGTTTATCCTTAAAAGTCTTATAAAAGAACTCTCTGACCAAAATGCCTGATTACAGTATCTCCTTATAGCTCTACCAATATAAAAGATAAATGTCAGACCTGGTACAAAGGGATTTTAACATGTAAATGACTTTAATACAAGGAAAAGGCAAGCCATTATGAAGCATCATTTCTCTGGCAGGTGCAAGGAAGCACTTTGTACCAAGCCACGTGTGGGCACTGGTATCATCAATCTCTCTGAGTCATAGAATGGAAAACTCAGAGTTTGTTGTAATGGTCCTTTTGTGGCTGTTCACCAGGTCTGGCAAACCTCACAATGTCTCCTCTATTAGTTTATTATTTTAATCCCCCATTAAAATGAACTGAGTAGATAAAATATTTTTCTACTTGACCAAGTTAAATGGCAGGTTTTTGGTTCTGTGTTCTCTGTCTCCAGTTCCTTTCCTTTCAGTTCATCCTCACCATTGTTGTAAGAGTAATCACATTTATTCCCATGACACCAACCCCTAAATTGTTATGCTGATATCCAAGATCCCAATATATGCCTATATCTATTTTTTCAATCCCAAACTTTAACTAAGTCAGACTATTCACATAATTTCCTTAATGTCTGTCATTTGTCTACATTCTATAGTCTGCTTATGCCTCTGAATAAACACCTTTCTCTCTTACCACTACCAACCCAAATCCACTCAAGACCCAAAATAAGTCTTGCCTCCTTCACAGTCTTCGGTGGATTAATCTGGATCACACTGATCTCTTCTTTTATCTGAATTCTCATTCTATTATTTTCTTATATTGTCAATTAAATTAGTGGAATGTCATTTATGATTGAACTTGCATGTATCTTGACAATTCAATGAGTTTGTATATTCTTAGAAGTCACGAATCATTTATTATATTGCTTCATTACTCTGAAGTAACAAAGGGCTCAGAAAATGATAAGCAGATAATGTTTTTTATTGTCGCTATAGAGAACAATGAGAAAGGCCAGATGGAATTGTAACTTGGAGGTCTAAACATAATAAAAGGCTACATTGACACTGTGACTTCTATGTTAATATTTATTTTAAGACTAAGGTGAAAATTCTTCCTTTTGCTAAAATAGGAAAATAATATAATATCTATATTCATATTCAAATAATCTGTTCTTTAATTCTTAGGGCTCAGATTATATTAAGAAAGCACTGCTGTGACTTGAAAACTAGAACTACTTACTTATTATGCAGTCAGATGTACATAATTATACCCATTAAAAAATATCCAGTAGATTTCTATGAAGTCATAGTTCAATTTTCACATTTTAGCAATATCCCATGAAAAGACTGTTTCAATTTAGATTTAAAATATATGAACAAAGGAATATTATAAAGGAGTCAATTAACATTTTTCCAAAGAAGATGTAAAATGGCCAACAAGTATGCAAAAACCTGTTTAACATCACTAACCACTAGGGAAATGTAAATCAAAATCACAAGGAGACATCACCTCACACCTGTTAGAATGGCTATTATTGAAAAGACAAGAGATGTCAAAGGTTGGTAAGGGTGTGGAGAAAACGGATCATGTGCACACTGTTGGAGGGAATGTGAACTGATGTAGCCATGACGGAAAATAGTATCTTGGTTCCCCCCCCAAAAATTAAAAATATAACTACTATGTGGTCTGGCAATCCCACTTCTGGGTATATATCCAAAGGAAATAAAATCAGTTACATCACAGCTATCTCTAATTCTACATTCAACTGCACTGTTATTCACAAAAGCCAAAAAATAGGATCAACATAAGCATCTGTCGACGGATGAATGGATAAAGAAAGTGTGGTATATTCTTACAATGGAATAGTAGTTAATCATAAAAAAGAAGGAAATCCTGCCACTTGTGACAATATGAATGAACCTGGAGGACATTATGATACCTTAAGCAAGCCAGACCCAGAAAGATAAATATTGTATGATTTCAACTATATGTGGAATTAAAAAAGGCATACTCAAAGAACCAGAGAGTTAAATGGTAGTAGCCAGGGGATTGAGATAGGGGAAATGGGGAGATGCTAGTCAAAGGGTACAAATGATTATTTATAGGATGACTGAGTTCTGGGGATGTACTGTAAAGTATGGTCATTATAGTTAGTGATACATTGGACTGTATACTTGAAATTTGCTAAAAGAGTAGATCTTAAGCATTCTCCTCACAAAAAAACAGGTAACTATGCCTGGTGGGCTACAGTCTATAGGGTTGCAAAGAGTTGGACATGACTGAAGCAATTTAGCACACAACACATGTGAGGTGGTTGATATTGATGTGTTAATTCACTTGATCATGATAATCATTTCACATTGTAAATATATATTAAATTATCACCCTGTACAACCTAAAAAATCACATTGTACAAGCTAAGTATATACAAGTTTTATTTGCCAATTATATCTTAAAAAATTGGAAAAAATAAGGAATTAATAAAATATTTATAGAATATGTGATTTTAAGGCACCCACCTGTATGTCCATGTCAAAGCCAATTTCATGAAGAACATTCACAACTATCAGGCAATTGTGCAGATACTGTTCAGAACTTTTTGGTTGTGTGTACATGTTTATGAAATGAGACTCAATCTGGAAAAGATAACAATCAAATCTTTTATTAATAGAATAAAAATAACTGCTTTTTAACTGTTCTCTGTAGTTCAGTAAACAATCATTTTAATACTAACATTTATTAGTAGATTATTATAATAAAAATAAGTGAATAAATAAAAAGGGAATGCTAGCCATTCAGATGTAGCTTCAGTTCAGTTCAGTTCAGCCGCTCAGTCTTGTCCAACTCTTTGTGACCCCACGGACTGCAGCACGCCAGGCCTCCCCTGTCCATCACCAACTCCCGGAGTTTACTCAAACTCATGTCCATTGAGTCGGTGATGCCATCCAACCATTTCATCCTCTGTTGTCCCTTTCTCCTCCCACCTTCAATCTTTCCCAGCACCAGGGTCTTTTCAAATGAGTCAGTTCTTCACATCAGGTGGCCAAAGTATTGTATGATTTAAAATTAAAACATTTAACAGAATCAGTTTGCAGAAAATATTTCAAATTTTAATTTCTAAGTTATTTAAATAAAAGAAGACCACTCTGCATAAAAAGGACTCTTACCAAAAATGGGCAATAGGCTCCCAACACTGTTGCAAAAACAAGGCCATCTAAAAGGTCTTTGTCAAAATTTACTATCCATTTCTCAGGGGGAATAACACCTGTTCCAAAAAAGAGAGAGAGTAAATATAATGACAGTTTTACTTTTTAAAAAATACCTCTTATGGAAATTTGAGCAAGAGTCAAAGAAAGATCTGCCTTTGCTTAGAAAAGAAAAAGCATCATATTTTGGAAAAAGAAAAAAAAAAACTAAACCTTAGAAGCTTAGTAATATGAAATTTATCGATAAGGTGTTATAGGCAACTGTAGACTGTCCTTTATTTCCACTGTAATCACTTTGAATAATGTACTACCATGAAGTAATGGAAGAAAAATCTGACATTTCAAAATTACTCATTCTGTTGAGTACTGTGCAGTTCAAATGTTTGATCATCAACTTGGGTAAAGAGGCTCAGAAGGCATGAGGTTTCCAGTAACTCTAAAGTTTTAGTGCCCGTTTGACTATTTGTTGCAGAAATTCCTCCACATGTAGGGTAAGTATGTGAAAGGGTTTTGGAATTTATGGCTTGAAGAAACTAGAAATAACCTATAAAAGATAATACAAGATGGAGGAATAATAAAAGGAATTTTCAGTTACAGAGACGACTACTACGCTGACATAAGGGAAAAAAAGTGAAAGTATCTGGATATTTAGTAAGAAAAAACGAGCAACAACAAACAAACCTGCCCTATACTAGGGAGGAATGAAAGGTGATTTAAACATCAGAAATTACTGATATGATGAATGTGACATTTCCTTTTGCAAAATGTTTCCAAAACGGCCTAGTAGAACCATCTCTTAATGGTTTGAGATGGTTTATTAACTGAAAACTAGGGGAAAACCTGGTGATCTTCATAAATCCCCTCTAATCCCTTGATTCTCATTTTCTGTGAAGAATAAACCATGAAGGAATATGTTCATGACATGTATGTAACTTCAAGTAGGACTGTTTTACATCTGGAACTGAAAGACTTAAGTTTTCTCTGGAACCACATATGTCCTGGATACTTCACAGAAACAGTGCCCAGTACTTTTTCATCTGAGATGATATAACACTGAACATTTCTTTAGGATTTCTACAGCATATTATTACAAAATCAGTCCAGCAAACAACTAACATACAGCAAACAATATTTTGCACTATATTTTTCAAATGATTTTTTTTCCTGACAGAAAGCTATAAATAGTTGTATGTCTGATATAAGATGTGATACAACCAAAGTAATTATTTGTAAATGTACTTCTCTAGTCGGCTGAGTAATTATAACCTAACTGTACTTCTCCATTTCTATCTGCCACTCACAGCTTTTAACAAAAGCAAAGGGTCTCACTTTTGTAGCCAAAATTCACTTTTCTACAAACTCGAAACAACAATTTTAACTTTAATCTGAAAAACACAATTTATTAGCTTATAGTGAAACAGTTAGTTGGCAATGGATATAGCCTGTGTCCTCTAAACCTCCCATTCTTATCAGAGAAGGGATAGAAATTTCCCTGAGAGAGCTTAACATCTTATCATGAAAGATTACACTCACAAGACGAAAACTAATTAAAAATTTCCTAACTAGAAGCTAATGAACAGAACTAAGCATTATATTGCTACTTCCAATTCCACCAACTACAATCCAGCACCACAGGATTCATTATGACCATCCCCCCTTGCTTATTTCTAACTTCTATTTTCAACACTGAAAAACCCATCTCTCACTATTTAAAAGAAATTCACTTATTTGTTCAGCCACAGTAAACAGAAAAAAAGTACTTTCAGAATTGCAAACCTGTCCCCTGTAAGAAACCAGAGTTACATGCATATGTATAGGTCTATTGGTCTTTTAATTCTACACTATGCAATCATGGTACGGTAAAGTCAGCTCCTTTCTCCTCCATTACATACAGTGAGGTTGTCAAACCTCACAGTCTGCATTCCATCCTGGATTACTAATTTATCTCTTGGTTGATTAAAAATATATATATATATATATGTATATATACATACACACACACACACACACACACATTCACTCTTTGTGGATTTTGACAGATAGACTCTTAGGATTTTGAAAGATACATTATCATGTATTCACCACCACATTCCATACAGAAAAGTTTTATCACTCCCAAAATTCATATGGGCATTTTAGAGTCAACTTATTGATAATCTACCAAAAAAAAAAGTGTGCCAGGATTTTTCACTGGGGTTACATTGAATCTATAGATCATTTTGACCTCTCAACAATATGATATTCACTAATTATGATATCAGTTGCATATAATAATTATCAGACCAGCCACTTGAGGTTGAGATAATAAATACAATACTTGGGAGAACCTCCATATAAGTGCATCATTAAACTAGAAAGAAAGTGAAGGCTCTTTACTATGGAGAAGATTGATTAAAAATAAAAGAAGGCCTAAGAAAACAATATCAACTGTAAGAAAAAGTAATTATAGCAGCTACATATAAGGGAAAAGACACAAATAATAATGTTAATATATTTAAAAATTTTAGATGGTATTAATTTTATTAAATGAGTTATAAAATCTCACTCAGTGGAAGATAGAAAATAAGAATAATCTTATTACAAGTTTTTTAATCATTTCTTTTAGAATTAATGGGCCTACATGGTTTTACCAGTAAATTCTGCGAAATTTAGGAACTAAGCAATTTCACTAATATAGAAACTCAAAAAACTGGGACTTCTCAAGCAATCACTGAGATTTGCATAAAATTATAACAAAAAAAATCCTAAAATGTACAGAAAATATTTACAAATTATCACTCATGCAAACTGAAGCAAAAATTAAAATATTAGTAAGCTAATTCTAGAAAGGTATTAAAAAAATATTAGCTATCATGGCAAAATTGAATTTGTGCCAGGACTGCAAATGTAGTTTACAGTTAACAATCAATTTAACTTACCATATTAAAATACACAGATATATATTTATCTATCTACAATCTAAACAGTTCTGTAGTATTCATTATAAAAATTCTATAAAACTAAGGAGAGAATGTAAATTCCAGAACACAATGAACATATTCTGAAAAATAATCCTACAGTAAATATCACAGTTAATGAAGAAATGTAGAATATACTCTAAGATTAAATATGGAAAAGATTAGGCATATGTAAGATTCTCTATGCTAATAGAAGGCTAGAAAAAATCACTTCATGTCTCAGTTTCAACCAATAGCTTACACTGCAAAAGGAGTACAAAAAATACATCATATGCCAAATTTACTAAAAGGAAAAGTTGTGGAACAGGTTTCACACTCTTGAATATCTCACTCATTTTGAGAATATAAAAAAAATTTAAAGCCAAAGAAAGCAATTTGCTTATAGGGGAGGAGTTGCAAGCTGATCTTAGTTTTTCCAAAGTTATTTTGCTGGCATAACACAATTTAGAGTTCAGAGAAACACAGTGATTCCCATGTTTGATTTTCAGTCAAGATGCAATCCATACGTAAAGAAAAGGAAAATGTTTACAAAAGAACTCAGAGATCAGAGTCCCTGAAATGATAATTAGAAAAAGCACAATAATTATGAAATCCAACCATCCAACAGCTGAGTCAAAAATAATTAAAAATGGAGAACCCAGTTAAAATGACACACAGTCTAACACTGACAGAATGGATATGAGTGTTATAAGCACTGACTATGTAGGCATAATAAGTCTAGCAAAATGATGATACTAAGGCAGGAAGGTGAGAGGAAATGAGAGTGATAATTATCTCTCTTGTCAGAGCAATGACTATTAATGTTATGGAAAATAAAAACAGGTGGCAACCAAACAAAACTGAGAAACCTCAGAACTCATTCATAAACTTCTTTTAAAGTGGAGATATATATTGGGAAATATTTTTTCTTGTGGTGGACAAGTATTTTATATGGCACTTCTATATTATTTAATCTTATTTCCTGTTTCTGTATTTGTACACACTAGAGTTTTTAACCTTCGCTGTGCAATAGAACCACTTTAAGAGTTTTGCAAAGCTGCACATGCACAGGCAACAATCCAAAAATTCCAAGTCAACTGGCCAGAGGTGGGGACATCAGGTTTTTTTAAAGTTTATTTTATTTTCAGTTCCCTAGGTGATTCCAATGGGTATCCAGATTTGAAAATCCACTAGTGTGGATGAAAAAGAAAACAAGATCTCTCTCTGAATAGCTGAAAAGAATTAGTAAGAACTACACAGATCTAAGTTACTGAAGAATTAATATTTTGAAGAAACAGCATTACCCAATGCTACTTAACTAGAGTCTTGGAGTCAAACCACTTAGATTCAAATCCCAACCACACCCTCTTCTAGGAAAACATGCTAATCTCTCTGCTTTGTTTTTTAATAATAGTAGTAAGAGTGACCTGATCAAGATGTTTGCTTTGAAGTTTAAATGAACAAATAAATGTAGGCCTTTAATTGGCATACCACAAATGTTGGCTATTATTATTATTAATCATGGTTTTGTCAAATATTCAATTAGAACTGTGGTTCACTACATTGAAAAGAAGATGATAGCTGAATTTTTCATTTTGTCCTATTTTAAACATGTTTTCCTTCCACAAGGCTGAAAATCCCTTACTAGCTGTTTTATAAATAGTCTTGAGTCCCCCTTCCTTCAAAGAGATGAATAATAATTGTGAAATTTTTTAGAGCATTTTGAAAAAAGCTAAACATTAGAAGAATTCATATCAGATACCTAATGTCTGGAACTGTCTGAAGTCCCCTATAATGTTACAGCCAAAATTATGAAATACAGAGAAAAGGTTAAGAACTTCACGCAAATGAATTATCTACACAATAACTCTGAGCATTACAGAAAAGGATGGATGACTGTCTGCCTCATTCCTTAACTTCCTGTTACAGTGATATCACAAGCACTGATTCTTCTTGGACCATCAGATATGGTAACTGACAGTTTGTCCTGATCATGGGGCTGGGAACAAAAGATGACTGAATGGGAAATCACTGAAGTAGAATTACTGGTAAAAAAACAGTTGATAAATTGATGTATATCTACTTACAAATTTGTTCTGCATTTTCAAAATGCTAAATTATAT